ATTTCAAAGGTGGAAAATTGACTTGGCTAGACAAACCTTAACGTATCACAGCCCTAAAGAAATCTAGCAATAGGACATTCTAGATACCTCACCAGAGTAAATTTCCATTAAATTATATGGCTCTCAAGTTAACATACATTAATATACACAGTCCATATATACACATTAAATATCCCGTTCTTCCCTTTTAGCCTAACCCTTTAATAATTTACCCTTCTTAATGGCACTCGTTCGCTATTGCATTTTCTGTTTTCACGAATTCTGTTAGATTTATTTTAGTTTTATGTTAAATAAATTAGTTGCTTTAACACAAATTTATAAAAGAAAGAGGCAGCCATAAATAAATAAAATCGCTCCAGTCGGAATTGATCGACTAGGCAATACCCTTGAAACACAAATTCAAACATCATTTTAATCTTTTCTTGACTTCTTTTAATGTGTATTTAATTTAAAAAAAAATGAAAATTAAAAATAAAAATAATAATAATAATAATTATATCAATCGATGAATATATCAATCGATTATTAGTTTTAAGTATCCTACTATTCAAAGATATTTATTCGATGAGTTCATTCGTAGAGTCCTAGATGAAAGGGGAGAACAATGTGTGTTACCAGTTCCTATAGAGCTCGAGCTATGCCGTATGAATCATGATCCATGATCCAAATCGATTTAAAACAATATTTCGATAATAGAATATTTAAATAAACTATAAATATATTAGCCACCATTTATTGTTCTTGAGATCAATATAAAGGCCAACAAAGCAAATGTGCTGGAATATATAAGCTCTCTTATTTTCATTTATTCATGACTGATATACCCTATTCACCTACTTTTGTATTCTCATTGAAAAAAAAAATAAAAAAATAAAATGAATGCGAAAAAAGACGCGCGCTCACATAAAAAACTCTTCAATGCAAATAAAAATAGAAAAGTGTAAAAATGCAGGCGCTGAACATGAATGCAGCTGGCTGGTTTGACTTGCCACATGAACAGCAACAACAACAACAACAACAACGACAACAACATCTACGGCAATACAACCATAAAAATTAAAAATAAAACTTACATAAATTTAGAAGGAACTCTGGCGGGCAGCGGAGCAGCGTCATTTGTCGCACTGCTCCCAAAATGCCTTTTATTTTTGGACAAACGGCAACAGCAACAACAACAACAACAACAACATCTGTTGCAGTTGAAACAGCCACGACAAATTGCACTCCCAACTGTTTAGCAAGCAAACTGACTTTGAAATTCCAAGTAGGAGCACGAGAGTTCTACCCAAATGAAATGGCAGTGCTTAGCCTGAACAACTTAAACGGCTCGAGCGGCTTAAGGTTTTAGCCGGTTTGGCTTTGGAATGAATGCAGACGCCAAGCGACGCAGCGCACCGCAACAATCGAATCAGAGTTGAGACTTCAACAGCTCCAACAAAACAACAACAACAGTTAATAAGTATATACAACATATTACAGATATATACATGCGTATATACGTATGTAAGTCTATGCATAGATATGCTGTAAGCAAGTCGGCCCAGTTAGATGCTCAAACAACAAGTAAATTCATTGCCGTCGGGCGCTACCGACTGCGTAATACTCATTGACGGTCCAAGAACTGTTGATCAAAAATGCAAAACCACTTGACGTAGATATATATCAATTATATATGTCTGTTATCAAAGCAAAAAGTATTCAAAATATTCAATACTTTTACAGCTAAAATAATAGCATTACTAAGCTACCTAAGCCACGCTCCAGGAGGACGGATCAGAAAAGCTGTAATGCTCTTATTAAGTATACCAGTACATATTCAAAATTTCGCTACTGACGCGCAGACAGACCTTTTACAAAACCAATATACTTCAAATACTCTTCGTTAATATGCAAACTGTAAACAAAGTAAGATCATTGCAGTTAGGCAATAAACCCATTCCATTTGATATTCTCCGATGTGCCAAGTCTTCAATGGGCGAACCACATAATTTATAGATCTATCTACATATAAGATAGATGACCCTCATGATCTTGACTCAGGCACGGCAAATTGTTACCAGCATTGGTAACCATATAAATTGTAATCCCTCTATAAATCCATGGATGATATAGTCTTTCTCTATAAGCTAGATCTGGTATACCCCCAATATATATTTCGAATTCCAAAGCTCTCCAAACCAATATACTCTCTTCACTAACTAAAACAGAATGGAAAGCAAAGATATAGTCGGCACTTGTCGCCATGGCCAAAATAAGTAGATTGGGAGTTGGGGGCCATCTATTTCGGCTGCTGCTGCTGCGATGTGGGTGTATCTCCGTGAGCGAATGCGTGCGTGCCTTTGTATGTGTGTGTGTGTGTGTGTGTGTGTGTCTGTAAGGCTTGTGAATGCCATTGGATGCTATGCCACTCTAAAATTCCAGGCACATACACACTATAAGCAGTTCGCAGCGGCGATGAGAACAAAAGGACAAGCGAAGACTCCAGCGAGTCATAAAAACTGTGCAAGCGGGGCTTGTTTATACCCTAGAAAAGCAGCGAGCATGCTGAAAGGGTATGCACAATAACTGATTAAAAATTAAAAGTGATATAAATCTGCAAGCAAATTTACATAATTAACTTGTAATTTTCATTAACTTTTAATTGATTTTATTTGATTAACTTTTTTATTTGCTCGGTAAAAAGAAACTCTATCTATCTATCTATGTCTCTCTCAACTATCAACTCTAACATTAAGATGTCGTAGGAATCTAAATTATATGAAAAATGTATTGTATAATTTTATAAAAATCATAGATAATATATAAAAACAATCATATCTAACGGTATTACCTACACATATATATTAAAAGCCGAAAATTGCTTATGAGCCATAAACCACAGCACTACCTCTTTACTTTTCCAGGGTATCTCACCTAGCCAAGCCCACACTCTGCTCAACTGCCAAGCACTAAGTTATTATTGTTGCTCTTTGTCGCTGTGGGCGGCTGAGGGAGACAACGGGTGGCAATGCGGATTGGGATTGCGATTGGGATAGGGGATTGGGGATTGGGTTCGGGAGCTTAGGGCTCGCATATTTGGATTCGTTAGTGAGACTCCAGCTGCGAGAAGCGTTGAGGCAAATTAAATACAGGAAGTTTGCAAAAGCGACTCTGAGGCGAGTGCCAGCAAGCGGCAGCATAATAATAGAAATGAGAAGTGCAAAGGACGCAGCAGTTCGCAACTGTTTCGAGAATTCGCAACAGCGACAACAGCAACAACAGCAACAACAACAGCAGCTGAGTTGGAGAAGTGTGGAAAATATTTGGTAAATGTTGTTAGAGTTTTTGGCGTTTGTGGCGCAACAAATTTGCACACAAAGAGACTTTCATAAAACATAAGCAAAATATACGAGTGTGTGTGTATGTGTGAGTGTCTGTCTCTGTCTGTGAGCACTGAAAATGTTTATGAGCACTTTAGCTGGCCACTGTCCGCTGTTGTGCGGTCCCTGTCCGCCCATCATCAACATCATTCACATTTACGACGGAGGCCCACCCACAACGGGCAGCAGCCCCTGCTAGCGAATTTCCTCTGCTTGCTACGCCGTATATACATACAGCAGCTACTAGGGCTTTTGCTTCTTTATTATTGTCAATGATTTGCTTTTGGGCTCATAAAATGGAGGCAAATTGAATTTTTTTTTCCCTTTTGCTTTCTCCTTTTGCTTATCTTCGTCCTCCTGCCTTTGGCTTTCCTGTTGCTTTTAGTGTTGCTGTTACATGTTGTTGCAGTTGTTGTTGCTGTTGTTGCTGTAACTCTTTCCTAAGGCACACGTGACGTATGCTTAATTATGTTACTGCATATTGCGCATATGCCATGCTGCACGCTGCGACGGGAGATCAAAGCTGAATGTTTTCAAGAGTGCAACGGTCAGGGCAGCTTGAATTAGTTTCAAATTTCATTATATTATTTGGCACTATATTAGGTCAAGGTCAGTGCTATTGATCGAAACGAATCGAAAGCGAATTTCCCAAAACAAAAGTTAAAGCTGGCGGAGCTAAAGTATAAACATTCTGTTTCGATATATATCGACTTTTTTGTCATTATGTAACTATTATATTGTGGACGAAAATTGCTTCAAGTATCTGACTAAAGATTTTGTAGACTCGTTGCTGTATTGGATTAGTTCAGTGCCTGCCTTGCTCTCCGTCCGTTCGTCTTTCGGTGTGTCTTGAGCCAGAGTTTTTATATTGATAATGCAAACAAATCAGTGAATATACGTGGGGACCTTCAGAAGAACTATTTCCAGTATCTCAGGAATTGTAATATTTATCAATCACAATTTATATCATTCACAATTTTGATAACTGAATTGAGTTAATTCTGGCATCGTCCATTAATAAATATACAGAACAAACCAATTACAATATACAATATAAACTTTTGGAATCTTGCTAAAACTGTAGGCAATTGCCAATTCTCATCATCAAAAATCTCGAAATAATATCATTGGAATACTCTGTTTAGCCTTCGATTAAAGGCTAGCACAATTTGATAAACCCAAGTAAATTATTCAGCCATGGAGTGTCGCTGCTTGCAAAGGAATTATCCACTCAGCGCTACTTAATCAGCGCTACCAATCTGAAGTTTAGTTTCAAAGAAAACTATATTCCCCCGTTGCTTTGAAGTATAGATTACAGTAAATTAAACTCTGAGCTTTGCGCAGTTGGGGTGGCAGAAAACTAAAAGGGGCGGACTCCGTGGACGTAAACTTTTCGCCAATTTTAATTAAAGATTAAAGCTAGTCAACAGGGGCGAGAGCTGATGCCCGATTCGAGCAGACATTGAGAAATCGCAAATTGATTGCATTCTCTAATGTTCCTAATGCTCGACTCCAGATAGACTGTGCGAAGGGTGAAGCTAAATACAATTAGGCGCATCGCACTTGACGAGCATTGTTGAGAAATGGATTCAGTGTCAAGATTAGGGAGAGATATGTTGGCATAAGAGGCCAATTACTTACCCAAGCGGTTGCTCTGCTGCTCACGTTGCTTAGTTGATTTTTATAATAATATCAAATGGATTGCTATTTGTTGAGGTAAGTATTACCAGCTTTAGTATTTACTATTATTATTATTATTATTATTTTATGAATTGTAGCAAGTGTTCATTTTGTACATAGAAAACGAAAGATAGTTCAGATATATAATATATATATTATATATGTATTTCGGTATTGCTTTCGAATTTCTTTGGCTTTTGCTTTTAGTTAGTTTTCACTTTGACTTTGGCTTGCAGTGTGGGCAGCATTATCAACATAATCATCATCCACATCATCATCATCATCATTTTGGGCTTCATCAGCATCTTCAGCACCAAGCACATTACTTTCATTATCATCTCATCATATCATTTTTTCCATATCAATTTCAAATATTTCTATCTGCACGTCACTTTTGAGGCGAACGAGAAAAAAAAATGTAAAAAAAATAAATAAATAGACGAATTTTGAATCGAATCGAATGTGCGAAAAGCGCGCTACACTGACGACCCATTCACACACACACACACACGCATACGCATACGCATACGCGGACAGGCACTAAACCCACATACACGCACACATGCACACTCACACAGATACAGAGACACGTGCGCGTTCACGTTCGCGTTCGCGTTTTGGGCGTTCGAGTTTAAAGCGTATTCGCATCGAGCCTTTGTCAGGGTGTCACGTTTATTCATAATTATTCAATTATCATTTATTGCTGCATTCATTTTGCTTGCTAATCGCTGCTGCCGACGCTGCTGCTGCTGCTGCTGCTGCTGCGAGGACTCGCATCCCGTTTTCATTTTCATCCATGATTTTTTCCTGCTGCTGGCCAATATTTCCAGCTCATTGAACGCGTTTAGCTCAACTTGAACTGAAATTTAAACTGGAACTAGAACAGGAGCTGGAGCTGGAGCTGGAGTTGGAGCTGGAGCTGTGGCCCTCTTGAGCTTCACCTTCTCTGCTCCCTATTTTAGGGAGTGGGCGTGCCTCGCTTGCGGACGGCTCTTTTTGTGTAATGCTGCAATGGCAACGGAAAGCAAAAAGGAAACGGAAATTTTTTATCGGCTTTTCAATAAATTTGCAACAAAATGAGGCAAATTGTGCACACGGCCAGCATATCACTCTCTCTCTCTCCTTCTTTCTCACTCTCTCTCTCTCTCTCCTTCTTTCTCACTCTCTCTCTCTCTCTCTCTATATATATATATATATATATACATATATATCCCTCTCGCATTCTCTATATGTGTGTGCTCTATATACATATTTATAATTTTATATTTCAGCAAGTACTTCAAATAGGCAATTGGCCATTTGGCTGCCTTTTCCCGTTTCCCCATCCTCGCTTAATTGAATTCAAGTATATTTTCCCTCATCTAATAACGGTACTTTGTTTTTATAGCTTCCGAGCCCACAACGAGTACATTATATATACATCTGAGTAATATTTGTAATTCTATTTGTCACAACAATATTTCAAGTACGTAGAGAACTCTGAATAAAGCAGACTCAAATGTATTACAGCCACACATATGTATGTGTACATACATATACATATATATGTAGTAATGATATTTTAATAGACGTTCATGTCGCTTTAAAATCTACTAATAATACTAATAATAAAATAATAATACTACTATTTCTCTTCATTTCTTTATATCCATATATCCATCTTTTAAGCTAACTGTCTATCCATCTATCTGTATCTGTATCTGTATCTGTATCTGTATCTGTATCTGTATCTGTATCTGTATCTGTATCTGTATCTGTATCTGTATCTGTATCTGTATCTGTATCTGTATCTGTATCTGTATCTGTATCTGTATCTGTATCTGTATCTGTATCTGTATCTGTATCTGTATCTGTATCTGTATCTGTATCTGTATCTGTATCTGTATCTGTATCTGTATCTGTATCTGTATCTGTATCTGTATCTGTATCTGTATCTGTATCTGTATCTGTATCTGTATCTGTATCTGTATCTGTATCTGTATCTGTATCTGTATCTGTATCTGTATCTGTATCTGTATCTGTATCTGTATCTGTATCTCTATCTCTATCTGTATCTCTATCTGTATCTCTATCTGTATCTCTATCTGTATCTCTATCTGTATCTCTATCTGTATCTCTATCTCTATCTCTATCTCTATCTCTATCTCTATCTCTATCTCTATCTCTATCTCTCTCTATCTCTATCTCTATCTCTATCTCTATCTCTATCTCTATCTCTATCTCTATCTCTATCTCTATCTCTATCTCTATCTCTATCTCTATCTCTATCTCTATCTCTTTTTCTATATAGGGAATCCTCTCCAGTTTCTCATCCAGTTTCTCCTTTGCTCCCACCTAAATTTTTTCTTATTTCAAGTGGCTCATTCCCATATAGCATGGCACATTTATACTTTTTGTACGTTTTGGAATCACAGCGTCAGATCCTTTTTAGCATCCTTTCAGTCACATCCTAGGCTAGAACTTTGGCTTTACAATTCGCATTTTATTTCCACTCTAGTTGCGTGTACTTTGCATTTAGTTAGCAAACTGACTTTCTCTATTTACTGCCAGTTGCCACTTGCCCTTGCCTCACTTCTCACTTCCCTTTCACCTTGCATTACATCAGCAGCTCTTCTCTTTGCCCATCCCTATCCCCATTCCCATCTCTATCTCTATCTCTGTCTCTCTCTATGTCTCTGTCTCTATTTTGGCTGCTGCCATCTTCCTTTTACTTAATGTTTTTCACAAGGCTTTTAAACTTGTCATGCATATTGATATAAGTAAGTAGAATTTGCCCGGCGGACTTCACGCTGTCAGCATATTCGAGCAATACCAAGCCTGTTACTTCCCTGCCCCCCTCTACTCTAGGCTTCTTTCCAAAGTTCTCCCACACCACCTATTCTCCCACTCAATGCTTAGAGCCGAATATGCAAACTCGGCGAGAATTTCATATCGCAATTTAACTGAATTCGCGTCGTGACGTCCGATGCTTTGACTTCAGATTGACTTTTGTCGCCTGCAATTCCTGAGAATTTACATGTAAGATTAACAAATTCTTTCTTTTTTCACCTTTAAACAAGTTTACCAATAAATATTTCGGATCAGAGCTATCGATTGAACGGTTTCAACACCCTAAGCATTTGATGACTCTAGTTTAAATTTCAGAGTTTCGCGATTTGGTTGTGCATAGTTCATTCTTATACCGCTAGAAACAGAGCATGCTTGCTAGCTCTTTTTCTTTGACTCTATGTTTACTACACAAATTGCACATTTTGGTGGCTTTATCGGGAGTGTCCACAATCCAATTTGATTAACTAAATGTTACCCTCTATGTGAGCATCGATGAAAACTATTCGTTTTAGCTCTTTCGAATCGTACATTAGATATACAGACATGTTAGTTCCTAATGTCAAGCTGATATGTATTCACATCCAACCAGTATACCTCTCTATATGTAATGAACATATAGGGTATGTAACAAGTAAAGGAAACTTTCCAAATAGAAGCTGGACTTTTCCCTCATGGCATCACTCTGTAACAAAATGGCGAGCTTGACAGATGCTTGTCACACACACACAGACGCACATGTATGTAGGGAAATTTCAAGGACGTTTGGCAGTGCGCAAAATACTAGATAGAACCAAATAGACTGTGGACCTGAGCGTAACCGAAACCGAAAACCAAATTCACATTAAAATAACATTTGATGAAGCATTTCAAGAAACCAGCAACAAGAATTCACATGTGAAAGTCATAAAAGTAAAAAGAAAAAAAAACACACACACACACGCACACACATAGAGTAGATAATTGTGCCTACGATTATATAGAGTCTGGGGCTCCTGCAGTGTTATGAATATGAAAATGATTTTTAACGAGGCAACACGCCGAGAGGCGTATGTATCTATAAGTAAATGTATCTGGAAGATAGCTGCAAATTTGTTGGACGCTGTCTCTCGATTTACGTCACAACAGTTTTATGGCTCTTTAAATACTAATTAAAGACGTTTTGTTGTTTCTCTTTTTCCCGATCATTCAAATAAATTTTATACTAGGCGGCCGCCAAAAGCATGAATCAAGTAGGTGGCGTATGGGGGCACCTACCTCAAATAAGACAGCAGCGCAGCGCATCAACAAGCAAAACCAAAAACCACCATAAAAAAAAACTGTATTACCCCAAAATAAAATATAATAAAAACAAAAAACAAAGAGATTTAATGTGTAGCGAGATTTTGAAAATAATTCTTCAAAGGCCGCGAGACACGTCGAGGAGTTCTAAGGTCATGAATTTGCACCAGAAAAAAAATACAACAGTAAAAAAATAAAGATTTCTTGCAGGTTAGTTTCTTGAGAACCGTTAGGCGCTATGCAAATTAGCGTTCTTCCTCTTTCCCATGCATTGCAATCGACAGCCACAACGACGGCGACAGCGACGACGACGACGACGACGGCGGCGACAACAACGGCGACGGCGACAGCGACGGCATCGGCAACGGCAGCGCTCGAGTTGGCTGCTGCGACGACGATGGCGGCTACTAACACAAGGCAAACGCTGAACGGCTGAACGGCTCGACGGCTCTGCGACAGCCTCTGCGGCTGTAGAGGCTCAACAACGGTTAACTGCTGCGTGCTGCGTTTGGCGTGTGGCGGCTGCTGGTGTTGCTGCTGCTGCTGCTGCTACGTGCTGCTGCGTGCTGCTGCGAAACGTTGCGTTCGCGTTCGCGGCTCTTAACATCGCGGCGTATACCCAACGACTATTTGGCCACGGACGCAGCGGCCGTGCTGGAGACCCGCCTGAGCGATGCCGCTGCCGCCGCTGCAGGTTCGGCAAACGCACGACGCGTACGCTGAGCGAATCCGAAACGTAAATTGGCATCCGAATCAGTGTCCGAATGCAGTCGCAGTCGCTGGCGCTGTCGCTAGCGCTGTCGCTGTCGCTGTCGGTGTCACTGTCGCTGCCACAGTCGCTGTCGCTAGTAACAGCAGCTGATGATGCTTTCACCTTGAGCTTTTGCCACTGCCATGCTCTGTGCCTATTGCGACTTTTTTATCTTCATAGGCAGCATAGCGACTGCGACAGCGACAGCGGCAGTGGCAGCAGCAGCAGCGACAGCGACAGCATCGGTATTCACTTTCGATATCGAAAATTAAAAAGCTTATGCGCCGCAGCGTGGCGACAACAAACGAATTTGAAGGTCAGGCGGCTGTCGGCAGTGCTTGTGCTTTTCTGAATCGAGCTGGCAGCAGGCGCAACAATCCGTTGCAAATGCCACCGACTGTGGCAAAATGCCGGCAAAAGCTCCTCCGACGCGTATCCTTTTCTTGTCAACGACGGGAAGTAAATGGGGCAACGCGGCAGCCGCAACGCACTGCAGCAGCGCATTTTCGAAATTCCACATTCCATTCATATAAGCTAGCGGAAAGCTGTTCGTGAAAGCTTTGAAAAGCTTTACTCAACTGATTCTGCTTCAATTTAAATAAGAAACTCAAACTGCTAAGAGCATTTACGAAAAGCTTAGCTAATTCAATTTTATATACCCCAAAACAATATACGAATTACAAAATAAAGAATATAGAGATTTTATGCACTATTTGTATGGACTATGGCATTTTTGATGTGACCTACTGAGGTCTATCAAATTAAAAATGGAAGACGAAAGTTTATATGCTCGTATCTAACACCGCTAAATATTAAAATATTATCGAAGACTGCGGTCTGGTAAAATACCAATAAATTATATGTCAATTTCGTAATTACTGCAAGATATTCGATAGAACCATCTGGCAACCCTACAAGGTTGCCGCATTCGACGGATCACCGTTCGTTTTTTTACATAAAAGAAAAATACAATTTGGTTCGATAATCATAATCATCATTTTCATACAATGGTAAAATGTGCAATTAATTCAATACTATTTAGAGATGGAGCAGTACATATTGCAAGACTTTAAAACTTATCGAAAAATATGACTCTAGCGCGGGCATTCTTTGCCGTTTCAAATATATTATATATACGTATGATTCCAAAAAAATGTAAAAATTCTATGCTTGAATTAAGAAAAAAAAAGCTGAAATATTGTTGGATAGAGATATTTTTATCTCGCGTTTGAAAGTGTATTAGAAAATTTAAATGGCTAGAAATAAATAGTTACTATAAGCTTTTAAATAATTGCACTTGATTTATTAGGAATTTATTTATAAATGTAAACCTTCAGCGCTTTACTTTTCGTCTGAAAAAAGCTCTTTGTAAATAGTTAACTGCAGGCTAAGCTTAACGGCTGCCATGACACCGTATCGGATGCAATTGTAGCCGTTGCCTTGGCAAAGATGGAAAACAAGCAACAAATTCAACAGTTGCCAGGCGAAGCCTATCAAATTTGTTCTATATATATAGATATATCAATTAAATGTATTTATATATATATGTATATATATATATATATATAAATATGCTAATTGATTCCTCTACACTGCAGAACCATATATTTGACTGATTGTTGGGCCGTTAAGTGCGCAAAATGGAGGAGGACGCCGTAGCCGAGAAGAAACCTGAAAAACCCCGTCATGTCGACATGTATGTGGACAGCGACAAGGAAGATGAGAAAGATAGAACCGTTCAAAGTATTACGCCGACCTCAAGGGCTACGAGCAGCATAGCGAGGGAGTCCATCATGCGGAAGAGTCGACAGCGGAGCATGAGGGCGGTCTTCAAGGAGCGGTCAACCAAGTCATTCACCGACGTCAACCTACAGATTAAAACGGGCGCGTCACTAATACCCGACTTGAACCTGATCATTAATCGGATGCGCAACATGAAGGATGACAGCTTTGTCTACTTGGATTATATGCTGCCCAAGGATAGCGAATTCTTCACCCCGTACAGTCTGCGCGAAGTTGAGTACTGCAATTTAAACATCTATAAGCCCTACTATACAGTAACGCGGCATGGCGTTACCTATTGGCGCGTCTCCGAGAACTTCTTCACGCCACTCAATCAATGGCAACAGGAGTTCCAGCAGTTCCTGAGCATCATTCAAATACGCACCTTCTCCATCTTCCGCTTGTGGAAGGGCTTCAAAGTGTGGGAGAAGACAATAAAGTGGCGCAAATTGAACTACGCCCGCAACCACTTGCAGAATAATCTATTTATCGTCATTCCCCAACTGGCCAAAGCTGTGCTTCGGATGCGAGCCGATCTTGTCGTACTGGAGCGTCTCAGCTTTGTAAATACGGAAAATATCGAGGAATGGCATCCCTTCTACTTTCTGGAGCTTCATATGCGCATCTATGAGCAGCTCAACTTCCTCTTCCACGAATTTCGAGGCTTTGTGGGCAAAGCTTTATGTACGTATAGTTTAAATATATCTATCTGGATTTTAATATTTCCTCTATCCCCACAGATCGTTCATGCACTGAGGCCATTATGGCACGTGGCTTCTATCCCGATGATGAGATCAATTACTATCCATCTGTCAAGAAAATGCGAGAGGCACACAGCTTTATGGATAGAGCCCGGAAGCGCGCCTTTTGCAAGACCTTAACCAAGTGAGTTCAAATATCTCTGTGATCTGAGTTTCGATGATTGCAACTATTCCAGCTGTACTCTCAATGAGCACATTCTCAACTAACTGCTCACATTCTGCTCGCTCATTGGCAGCTTTCTCACCTACTGTGACATGATGTTGTATCAAGCGCTCTATCGTGTAACCATTCAGAGCTACGAGGACCTGCATCAGGCTTTTGATGAACACAACAAGGTGGCGCCATCGGAAGCGGAAATAATGAGTCACGATCGTCTTGACACGAAAGTCGAAAAACCGCGTCCACCCGATGCACCACAAGCTCCATTTTTCCTGGCCCAGCTGCGCCTCTTGCCCGATCGCATTGAGGTGGAGCCCTTGGAGGATGTCTTGAAGCTGATCTTTCAGCGCATTACGGGCTTGATCTTGGAGACTGTCCTAGACATACCGCCCTTTACCACAGACCCGGAATTCACCCAATATACAGCGTAAGCTATCGAAGTGCATGACATAATTTGACTGACCTACTGCAATTTACTGTTTCATTTCATCTAGGCCATCGATCATGGGCCGTCAGGAGGAATGTCTGTATCAGTCAGCGCCGGAATTGACCTTTCTGTTGAAGCAAGATGCCACCTTCACTTTCAATCGGTAAGCTACATTCGTATTATCTCTAAATCTTATCACCATCATCATCAATCGTTCGAGCAGCAAAGATATATTTGTACTGATTCACGCGGCATACGAGATGGCTCATCTCTATACGGCACGCTTTCATACAATACGTGAAAACTATGAGATAGATGCCACCACAGATCCGGAAGAGCTTAGCAGTGAAAGAGGTAAGAATGCAAGCATTAAGTAGATGCTATTAGAGGGTATTATAAAAGATAAGCTACCCGTGCATATCCATGTAGAGCTTACAAGAAGGTATTAGGGATATTAACTAATCTATATGAACAAACACTTTGGTAATCTCTTCACAAATACATAAATACATACATATGCATATACTTCAATTCATTCATACTTAACCCTGTAGATACATACATACATATGTATGTACATGCATACATTCCTCGTGTATTCAGAATTTTTAGCTTAACGTGCATTGCACAATTGCATTATAGCGCATATACATACATACATATGTAATTATTCTCATGTGTATGTATGTATGTAATTTAGCAATTAATGATATGCTCGAATGTTAAGTTGGTATAGAGCAAAGTGGAGAATATAGGATTATTTAAATCTAGGTGACCCGGCGAACTTCGTACCGCCTAAAAGTCGAAGAATGTCGTGTTAATCATTCACGAATTGAACAAATGTGCATGAATAATTGTTTAGCATGAGAGCAGGACCGAAAACTGTCACTGTTATCAAGCCTACTGGTAAATTCTCAATGAAAATTTGACAGCTCCGAAATTAAGAAACCTTTAGGGAAAATAACGCATTTTTCAAGTATTCGTCAATTTTTTAGTATTTTTTAAGATATACTCTCCTAATCGGAGCGGAGACAAATCCAACAAATCAAAAACCATGAAAATTGGTCCAGCAGATCTCGACTTATAAGTGTTGTAACACATATAACGACTTTGTTTTATATATTTAGATGAAATATATTTAGATTAAATTACGATTATATACAGAATTAAGGTTTTAAGTTTGAACTAATTTAAATTAATTATTAAAATAAAATTTATACTGTGTTATATACAACATAGTCTTTTAGTTTTATTTAATTGAATTAATAATTTTTTGTTTAGGGCATTTTCAGAGATATTATAAATTTGCTTATTCTTATTTTATTTTATATTTTATTTTTGGTAAATGCAACTTGTTTTTTTTTTTTTTTTTTTTTTTTTTTTTTTTTTTTTTAATTCGTTTTTCATTTAAAAAAATACTATTTTTAACTGTGGTCTGCACCTCAGTGCGCTCAGTGCGAGGACAAAGCAAATTTGGCGACAATTGAGTCCAGAGCATAACGGAATTTAGTTTCCATCAAAGCAATGAGAGCAGAGGATAGAAGGGTGAATCTGTATGTACATATGCATGTATATATGTGTATGTGTGTGTAGTTAGTAACTTAGCTCATAGGCAAATCGAAATGAAGTGTGAGAAGTGTCTCAGTGCAATGCAATGGGAGGGCTTGGTGAAAGGGAGACTTGAAATTTGTTCTTCTTCAGGCAGAGTCTACTCCTCTCTCACTAATTCGCTCTTCTCTTCTCTCTTAATACTTCTAACGCTCTTTGTAGACCTCACGGCGCTGCGCAACTATTGC